GGAGATAAGGGTCTTGGTATAAGATGTAAGAAGCGCTGGGTGGGAATATGCTGGTGAAGTGGATCTAAGAGAAGCGTGTTCATTGTTTCGGAGAACAGGGAACAGTTCCCAAGAAAAGCAGTGTTTGGTTTCTGTGATGAAAAACAAACTTCCTCCTCCAAAGATAAGTGGCAAAACAACACAGTCTCCACTCAAAGCATCTACGCTAAGAAATACCTTGGCTACCATCATAGAAGAAGAACCCCTAAAAACAACTGTGAAATATTTCCACCACTGTTGGGTTACTTTTGGGTATTCTTACTTTGGAAGCTTCTTTTTTTTTTTTTTTTTTTTTTGAGACGAAGCCTCGCTCTGTCGCCAGGCTGGAGTGCAGTGGCACTATCTCAGCTCACGGCAACCTCCACCTCCCGGGTTCAAGCAATTCTCCTGCCTCAGCCTCCCGAGTCGCTGGGACTACGGGTGCACGCCACCACACCCAGCTAATTTTTGTATTTTTAGTAGAGACGGGGTTTCACCGTGTTGTCCAGGATGGTCTCGATCTCTCAACCTCACGATCCGCCCACCTCGGCTTCCCAACGTGCTGGGATTACGGGCATGAGGCACTGCGCCTGGCCAAAAGCATCTCTTCTTTAAACTGCTACCCCAAATAGTAAAAAGCGTTAAAGAATCAGACGACTCCTACCCAACTGCCCTTCATCCTTTCTTACTTTTGCTACCCGATTCTTATTTCCCGTCTGGAAAGTAAATTCAGAAAGATAACGCAACACGCAGAGCACCGAACATGGATCCTCAGGTGGCCAGGAGCCTTTCTACATCCTTGAGTACAGCTGCTTACGGCAAATCAAACCTGCCCTGGCAGGGGTGTCTCGCTCTGCCAGCAATGGTGGATGTGCACGGTCCTGTCCTCACAGGCGGGTGCAGGAACTCCCCGTACCAGCCCCAGAGATGCTGTCCAAGCTTCCTGTAAGGTGAATCGAGGAGGCAGAGTGGAGGTCCTTCTGCAGGCACTACCTACCTTTTTTCCTTTATCTACTAGGAAGCACACATCACATCCTCCTAAGTCCACTCTCAGATCCTAAGAGGGCAAATCTGACAAAGCTCTGAATGGGCTAGTCGTCAAAGAGAGCTCAACCCTTTCAAGCAATTAAGCATTGGGAGGTCAGGAGTGCTGGCTCACACCTGTAATCCCAGCACTTTGGGAGGCTGAGGTGGGAGGATTACTTGAAGTCAGGAGTTCAAGCCAAGCCTGGGCAGCATAGTGGGACTCCATCTCTACAAAAATTAAAAGTAAAATAGGTTGGGTGTGGAGGCTCACACCTGTAATCTCAGCACATTGGGAGGCCAAGGTGGGTGGATCATGAGGTCAGGAGTTCGAGACCAGCATGGTCAACAAAGTGAGATCCCATCTCTACTAAAACTACAAAAAATTAGCCAGGCATGGTATCAGGCGCCTGTAGTCCCAGCTACTCAGGAGGCTGAGGCAGGAGAATCGCTTGAGGCAGGAGGGAGGAGGAGGCTGCAGTGAGCTGAGACGGCACTATTGTATTCCAGCCAGGGTGACAGCGTGAGACTCCATTTCAAAAAAATAAATAAAATCAAATAAAATAAGCTGGGCATGGCAGTGCACACCTGTAGTCCCAACTACTCAGCAGGCTGAGGCAGGAGGATCGCTTGAGCCCAGGAGTTCAAGGCTGCAGGGAGCTATGATCTCACCACTGCACTCCAGCCTGGGCAAGAAAGTGGGACCCCATCTCTTCAAAAAAAAGAGAACAGAGAAATAGGAAATACAACAACAAGCTTCCATTACCACCTTTTTGTGCATTTCCTAGAATGACAGAGGATGTCTGCAACTCCTGGAGCTTTTCCTTAATATACCATAGAGTGGAATTGATCATGATTAGGAAATGAGAATCTGTATGACTTTGCATTTTTTTTTCACCCTGAAAACAAATCTGATTTCTGGTGTTTTCAAAACTAGATCACAGATCTAGCAATGCTTGTGAATATGCTGGTTCCATGTCAGATGGAGCTATAGTCTGCACTGGTTGTCAGGAGAAGCCCAGACTCCCAAATCTGGCTGCCCAGTGTGTGTTATTTTTCCTTCCTTCTCTGAGCAAAACTTAACTCTTGCTGTTGCAGACCTACAGATGCTGGAAGCAGTAACATTGCCTTTCCCCACGGCTTTGATCTATGTTCCTCATTATTTCTCAGGTTTCACCAACATTTAATTGAACCCAAAGAGACAGAGAAAAATCTCTCTTGCAAACTAATCATTTCATCGTAAAAACTTCTTTAAATAACCACATTAATCTTTCATCGAATTCAGAAACTATGACAGATAACTCTGCCAATAAAAAGACCAGGAAGAGGAAATATAAATAAATAAACACGAAAGAAATATGTTTCAAATATCTACATTATCTACTGTGGAGCTATCGCCCTGGGATTCTCAATGACTGTCATGAAGACATATGGAATATGAGGGCTATGTGATTTATCTGAGTCTATGCGTGGGTTTTTTTCAATTTTCTGTAGCTAATATATCACACTAAAGAGGAATTTTTTTAAACTACTCCCGAATAGAAAAAAAGATAGACTCGTCACAGTAATGTCTCATCACCTAATAATCTATGGTTATAGTCACAAATCATTTAGATAACATTAACCCCAGAAAAACCTGACTATTGGGAAAGCAAACTATCGTGGTCAAATCCATTTTTTATGTATTCAACTAAATTCTACTTTTCCACCAACATAGTAGCAGACTGGGGCACAGTCACCTGCCATAACGTGATTTTTTTTTCTTTATTTGAAACTTACCTGAAATGATAATTATATTACGACAAAATGTAATCCTGGCCGGGCACCATGGCTCACGCCTGTAATCCCAACATTTTGGGAGACCAAGGCAGGTGGATCACTTGAGGTCAGGAGTTTAAGGCCAGCCTGGCCAACATGGCGAAACCCTGTCTCTACTAAAAATACAAAAACTAGCCAGGCGTGGTGGCGCATCCCTGTAATCCCAGCTACTCAGGAGGCTGAAGCAGGAGAATTGCTTGAACCAAGGAGGCGGAGGTTGCAGTGAGCCAAGATCATACCACCGCACTACAGCCTGGGCAACAGAGCGAGATTTCGTCTCAAAAAAAAAAAGGAAAGAAACTTATCAGAAGTGATAATGATATGATGATAAAATGTAATCCTGACTGCTGTAGTAAAAGATTAAATGTAAGATTTTACACTACTTTATTATCTAGTTGCAAATATTGTTCATAGGGCCAAGTGCAGTGACTCACACATGTAATCCTGACACTTTAGGAGGCTGAGGCAGGAGGATGGCTTGAGGCCAGGAGTTCAAGAGACTAGCCTGGGCAACAGAGTGAGACCCATTTCTACAAAAAATATTAATAATAACAGTAAAATTAGTTGGGCATGACAGCACACACCTTTTGTTCCAGCTACTTGGGAGGCTGAGGTGGGAGGATCACTTGAGGCCAGGAGGTAGAGGCTGCAGTGAGCTATGATAGTGCTACTGCACTCCAGCTTGGGTGACAGAGCAAGACCCTGTCTTTAAAAATAAAATTTAAAAAATACTGTTTGCAAATGCATGATGAACACACAGGAATATGTACCAGCAATGAACATCCCCTCTGTCCTCAGCATGGACTCCTCTCGCCTTCCTCTCTAGGTCCTGCCGCATGAGCCTTCTCTTCCTCACTAGTCACCTTTTTGTCATGTGTTTGCCTCCTCAAGAATGCCAGTTCCAGGAAAGCTTGGACCTTCATGCTTCCGTTGACAGCTGTATCCTCGGCATGTGAAACAGCAGACGGTGCACGGGAGAGGCTCAGTGTGCATTTGCTGATTGATTGAATGAATGAATGAATGCACTGACTTTGCTTCTGAGCTAAGAAATACAGTCAACCACCCTCGCTCTCCACCACCTGCTCTTGGTCTCGTTCAAAGTCAAAGGCATTCCCTGCCTGATTCACTTTTGCTGGTTGCTGACTTGCTTTTCTACACGATGCAAAGGTCAACACAATCCATCAAAAGACCCATGCAAAGGAGGCATTCCGACACCTATTCCCAATCACTCCCTCGCCCTGTGCCTCAGACAGAAGAGCTATTATAACTTGTTTATCCTTCTAGTGTTCCTTCATGCAAATATAAGTACATTCACATACATACGTTCATATGCCCATCTTTCTTTCTTTTTTTTTTTTTTTTTTTGAGATGGAATCTTGCTCTGTCGCCAGGTTGGACTGCAGTGGCACAATCTCAGCTCACTGCAACCTCCGCCACCTCCGCAAGCAATTCTCCTGCCTCAGCCTCACAAGTAGCTGGGACGACAGGCTCCTGCCACCACACCCAGCTAATTTTTGTATTTTTAGTAGAGACGGGGTTTCACCATGTTGGCCAGGATGGTCTCAATCTCTTGACCTTATAATCTGCCCGTCTCAGCCTCCCAATGTGCTGGGATTACAGGCATGAGCCACCACGCCTGGCCAGAAACACAGATTTTTATCATTCTCTTTAACAGCTGTATAGCGTTCCACTGTAGATACACACCATCATCCCTTTAACCAGTCCCTTATTGACCGATGGCCACTTGGCGGCTTCTAACACTCTGGTGTTACAAAGCTTCAATGATAAGTGTGAGCAAATGTCATTTCACCACATGTGCGGGTGTATCTGCGGTAAAGATTCCCAGAAACAGGACTGCGGGGTCGAAGGGCAAATGCATCCGTAATGTTAGTTCATGGCACCAGATTCCCCTCCTGTAGGGTTGTTCAAAAATACTGCTGGGTGCTATAAAGAGGTAGTGAATTTTTTTTTTTTTTTTTTTTTTTTTTTTGAGACAGAGTCTCACTCTGTCGCCCAGGCTGGAGTGCAGTGATGTGATCATAGCTCACTGCAGCCTTGACCTCCTGGGCTCAAGCGATCTTCCCGCCTCAACCTGGGACCACAGGCACGTGCCGCCACGCCTGGCTAAGATTTAAATTTCTGTAGAGACAGGCCCTCACCATGGTGGACTGAGTGATACTTTAAATGTGTATGTGTGGTATAGGTCCTGAGAACGTTTTCCATTCTTGTCATGAGGACTGTTAACCTATTTCTTTACTTTCATAAAACACAGGCCCTTTTAAAATTTAAATCAATGCGGCATCCCCCAGTGGTGGTCTGAGTTCACCTTCCCTATTAAACTTGCATCCAACAATTCTCTTCGGCTAACAGGTTTCCCCTCTAGCAACCTATTGGAAGAAAACAGCCCCTCTCAAAGAGACTTGAAAGCCTAGTTAATATGGGTGGAATTAAATTTTTATAAGAGCATTCAGGAATTCTAAATCAGCAGCAAATATTTTTCTCATCACAAGACACACAATGACATGGAAATAAAACGTAAATGAATATTTTAAAACTTTATTCATTCCAATTCAGGGGATCCCCAAACTGAGTTTATATGCCTGGAGTTTTAGTAATTCATGACTTTTTCACAGTGAGAATCTATAATTAGAACATGGTGCCTATCTGCAGAAGCGATAAAGGGTTCTTTCCCACCCAAGCTTCTGGAGAGGCACGAGGAAACAACACACTTTCACACGAGAATCTCAGATTTCAGGAAACTGACCTTCGGACTTGGAACATTGATTACAGGCGGGGTGCACCAAAGCAACGATCTGCTTTCCTACTGGCACGGACTGGCTAAACACAAGTCATACGAGACTAAATTCACTCCTTTAATATGGTTTTGTGTAACTCCTTCCAGTTACTTTAAAATCATTTGGCACGGAGAGCATGATATTCTCCATGTGCTAGTTGCTGTAAATGTCAACTCCAAGGACAGTCAGTTACCCTAATCAATAACTCATACTCCATCTACCAAAGACATGGACAAGAATGTTTTCAGCTGTTTTCTTCATATTGTCCCAAACTGAAAACAACCAAATGTCCATCAACTATAGAAAGGAACCTAAACTTTATACGATGGAATTACAGAGCAATGGGGAAAAATGAACAACTGTTACATGCAACAACATGAATCAATGTCATAAAGCATAAGTGCAATTCCATGTCTATGGAATTTAAAAGCAGACAAAACTAGTCTAAGGTGACAACCATCAGAAAAGGGATTACCAGGCTGGACACGGTGGCTCACACCTGTAATCCCAACACTTTGGAAGGCCAAGGCAAGTGAACTGCTTAAGCCCAGTAGTTCGACACCAGCCTGGGCAACATGGCAAAACCCTTGTCTCTACAAAAAAATACAAAAATTAGCCGGGTGTGGTGGTGCACACCTGTAGTCTCAGCTACTTCGGACGCTGAGGCAGGAGGATCACTTGAGCCCGGGAGGTCAAGGCTGCAGTGATCCCTGGTCATGTCACTGCACTCCAGCCCGAGCAACAGAGCAAGACCTGCTATCCTTACATGGGATTCCTAAAAAGGTCCAGCCATTGGTTTGGGAAATTTCTGGCTGCCTGAGGCTTCTCCTAGGGTAAGAGAATCATGGTTTTGGAATACTGGAAAATCTGCCTGGAGGGAAGCTTTTATCCAAAGTGGCACTCAGAGCACATAGGAAGGCACAGAGCAGGGACTCCTGATGACAGAACCACCACCCGGACTGTACTCGGCCAGCTGGCCTGCTCACACATTTCCTGAATAAGGGGTCTTAGATGAATTTGGTCTGAAACTTGCTTGCATTATAACCTGGCAATGAGAATGTAGAAGAAAGCTAACTGTCATTCACCTAAAATTTTACCTACTAAAAAACCTGAGCGTGGACAGCCAATCTGACTTAGTTCCATTCTCCAGACGTTTGCAGATCATTAGATGAATGGCAACATAGCGCAGGCACAGTGGCTCACACCTGTAATCCCAGCACTTTTCGGGGCTGAGGCAGGAGGATCACTTGAGTCCAGGAGTTCAAGACCAGCCCAGGCAACACAGCGAGACTCCATCTCTACAAAAAAATTTAAAAATCTGCCAGGCATGGAGGCGCATGCCTATAGTCCCAGCTACTTGGGAGGCTAAGGCACGAGGATCGGTTGAGCCCAGGAATCTGAGGCTGCACTGAGCTATGACTGTGCCATGGCACTCTTCACTCAGGTGACAAAGTAAAGCCTTGTCTCTAAAAAAAAATTAAAATTCGGCCAGGCACGGTGGCTCGTACCTGTAATCCCAGCACTTTGGGAGGCCAAGGCGGATGGATCACGAGGTCAAGAGATTGAGACCATCCTGGCCAACACAGTAAAGCCCCGTCTCTACTAAAAATACAAAAAATTAGCCAGGAATGGTGGCACGGGCCTGTAGTCCCAGCTACTCGTGAGGCTGAGGCAGGGTAATCGCTTGAACCCTGGAGGCGAAGGTTGCAGTGAGCTGAGATCGCACCACTGCACTCCAGCCTGGGTGACAGAGCAAGACTTCGTCTCAAAAAAAAAAAAAAAATTAAATTCAAAAAAAGCATGGCAACCTGCAGTCTACATAACATAGTGAGAATTTTCCTTATAAATGAAATGAAGAAAGGAGCTAGAAGCAAGAAAAACTGGACTGATAAACAACAGCACAGCAAGACCCAACCAGGGGGAGGGTTCCAACAGCCCCCACAGAGCTCTGCTTCTGGCCCCTTCCTCTTCAGCATTTTTACCGGTGACTTGTAGAGAGAGAGAGGATATGATCATAATGTCTGTGGACAACCCAAAATTAAACCAAACTCAGAATTCTAAAAGATCTTGACAGGCTGATAGAATGAGCTGGATCTCACAAGATTGTGCACAAAAATTAACAGCTCAGAACCAGACAGCCAAGGCTCCATGATAAAACATGTATCATCGTTGTTACATTTAAAACTTTAGGGGGTTTGGGCTGGGCTCCGTGGCTCATGCCTGTAATCCCAGCACTTTGGGAGGCCAAGGCAGGCGGATCACGAGGTTAGGAGATTGAGACCATCCTGGCTAACACAGTGAAACCTCGTCTCTACTAAAAATACAAAAAGTTAGCCCGGCGTGGTGGCGGGCGCCTGTAGTCCCACCAGGAGACTTGGGGCAGGAGAATGGCATGAACCCAGGAGACGGAGCCTGCAGTGAGCCAAGATCGTGCCACTGTACTACAGCCTGGGCTACAGTGCGAGACTCCGTCTCAAAAAATCAGTAAATAAAATAAAATAACAAACTTTAGGGGTTTTGGATGACTAGCAGTTCAGGTAAGTCCATGTAAGTCACAACTGTGTTGTGGTTGCCAAAAATGCAATGCCTGTGTTATATTTCAACAAATAGTTTCCTTTTAAAAATGTAATGCGAACATATTTGTACACTGATGTTCCTAGCAGCATGATTCACAATAACCAAAAGGTTACTTCCAGAGTCCGTGCAGAGGAATGGGTAAGCAAAATATGTTCTAGCCTTACAATGGAGTATTATTTGGCCTTAAAAAGGAAAAAAATTCTGGCCAGGCACAGTGGCTTACACCTAAAATCATTACTAGCACTTTGGAAGGCTGAGGTGGGTGGATCACAAGGTCAGGAGTTTGAGACCAGCCTGGCCAACATGGTAAAACACCGATTCTACTAAAAAATACAAAAATTAGCCAGGCGTGGTGGCGGGCACCTGTAATCCCAGCTATTCAGGAGGCTGAAGCAGGAGAAGCACTTGAACCTGGGAGGTGGAGGTTGCAGTGAGCCGAGATTGCACCACTGCACTCCAGCCTGGGCAACAGAGCGAAACTCCGTTTTTTTTTTTAAAAAAAAAAAAAAAAAAAAAGGAAGAAAATTCTGACTTATGCTTCAAACTGGATGGACCCTGAGGACTGAGTGAAATAAGCCAGTCATAAAAAGGCAAATATTGAGGAATTCACTTCAACAAGATGCCTAGAGCAGTCCAATTCATAGACAGAGAAAGTAGAATGGGGCTGGCCATAGACTGGGAGGAGAGAGGATGAGGAGTTGCTGTTGAATGAGGGCGGAGTCTCGTTTGGGAAGATGAAGAAGTTCTGGAGACGGATGGTGGCGACGGCTGCACAACAATGTGAATACACTTCATGCCACGGAACTGTATGCTTACAAACTGTCAAAATGGGCCAGGCACGGTGGCTCACACCAGCACTTTGAGAGGCAGAGGCGGGTGAATCACCTGAGGACAGGAGTTCGAGACCATCCTCACCAATATGGTGAAACCCCGTCTCTACTAAAAATACAAAAATTAGCCAGGCAGAGTGGTGCATACCTGCAATCCCAGCTACTCGGGAGGCTGAGGGAGGAGAATTGTTTGAACCCAGGAGGCAGAGGTTGCAGCGAGCTGAGACTGCGTCACTGCACTTCAGCCTGGGCGACAGAGCGAGACTCCATCTCAAAAAAAAAAAGGCAAAATGATCATATTTACATTAATACACGTTACCATAACACGTATTAATATATGTACCATAACATGTATTTATACATATAAGTAACACATATACAAATAAATAATGTATAAATATTTATACACTACAAATAATTATACTGTATTGTATACAATATTGTATATTTAAACAATTATTTATAATTGTATAAGAGAGCCAAGATTGCGCCACTGCACTCCAGCCTGGGCAACAGAGCGAAACTCCGTTTAAAAAAAAAAAAAAGGAAGAAAATTTTGACTTATGCTTCAAACTGGATGGACCCTGAGGACTGAGTGAAATAAGCCAGTCATAAAAAGGCAAATATTGATGAATATACAAATAATTATACTGTATTGTATACAATATTGTATATTTATACAATTATTTATAATGTATAAATATTTATCCAGTCCACATAATGTTCTGAGAAATTTCCTTATGATTTCCTTGTAAATGAAAGGAAGGAAGGGGCTAGATGCGAGAGAAACTGGACACTGTATATTTATACAATATAAATTAATACAAATAATTGTATAAATACTGTAAATTCAGTTTACAATAATACATATTACCATTTTTTAAGAACCCAAAATATGCAATGCAATCATCTGCTCCATTAATGTGAGCAAAGGTCACTGTCGGCTTCCATACTGTGCTCTCAGAACATACCTGAAAAGAGTGTGAAAACAGGCCTACCTGACTCCCTGCTCCACGAGCCTCTCCTCCTTCCCTCTCGCGTGGGCTTTGTCTCTGAACCGGGATGGTT